GAACAGTGGTGGCGAACCTATGGCACGGGTGCCAGAGGTGGCACTCAGAGCCCTCTCTGTGGGCACGCGTGCCATCGCTCCAGCCAGGCCCAGACCATCATTAAAGTGTGGAATTCTCTGCCAAATAATTTTAAGTAAATGAAAGCATTTGGGATTGCTTTCCTTACTTCGTTTGGATCATCTTATGTTAATGTATGAGTTGTTTTTTCTAAAGTAAAACCTCAGTATTCAGGTTAAATTGCCGTGTTGGCACTTTGCGATAAATAAGTGGGTTTTGGGTCGCAGTTTGGGCACTCGGTCTCTAAAAGGTTCGCCATCACTGCCCTAGAATCTGCAGGTGTGTGGTTTGGGGTGGTCCAAAGCATACTTTAGGGTGCAGCAGCTGGCCTCATTTTCGTCTCCTTCACATACCAGTGTACATTCCCCTTTCATGTGGGCACAGTGGCTTCTGAAAGGCAAGGGTTTTTTTTAAATGTTTCACTCACCTTAAGGACCGAATTCTGTCCTCCTGCAGTTAATGAACTCTTTATGTGGGTTTTCTAAACCTGTTTGGATCTGAATGGGTTTTCTTATGCTTCTACAAAGCACTCATTGTGCTTTGTCCTTAAGGTTTGCGAAACCCTTCCAAAAATCTACTTGCCTTCCGAATCCAAAGCAAACAAAAGCAAACATCCGAAAGGGACCTGCCTCACCTTCAAGAAGACAGTCCGCTGAATCGGGGGCGTGTGTACAATTTGGGGTGGCCCAAGGCTTACTTTGGGGGTTCTGAGCATTTTAAATATCAACAGTATCTGTGGATGGAGGATTCATGGGTAAAGTCCTGGGACCAACTTCAGCCTCACAGGTGGACACAGGATGAAACCATACATACCGTCGCATGTCGTGCATCCCAATTTAAGTGAGAATGAAATTTACGGGGCAGAGAAAGTCATGTCTGTCTTTGCTGTGGATATTTCGTACACGCCCCAGCTGGGCTATTTTTCTTCTGCTGTACTAATAAAAGGCGGCTTTTTGTTTGGTTTGCATTTTCTGATTCGGAACAAATTGCAAATCAAGCTGTTGTGTTTTATTGGGGAAGGAGCGGCGATGCAGCAGGGAAGGGGTGTCAGAACCAAACAAGGGGAAGAGAAGCGAGTAGCCCAAAGGGGCAAGTTATTAAGGGCCAACCTACATGTAATGCTCAGGATCTGTGAATGAATCCCCAGAGGGGTACATTTGAGCTGCTTCCAGACACGGAATGAAAATGACCCCCTCCCCGGCGGCAGCAACATCCACCCACCCCTGCCCCTCTGATGCTTGCTGCCACCACCACCCCTTCTTCTCCCGGAGGCCTGGTAGGATCTTTCCAGCAACTGCAACTAGAGATCCTAGAGAGGTTGGCAATTGAACCCAGAAATTGCTAGACACAAAGGATATGCTGTTCTGTTTTTCTTCCAGAAATCAGACTTGGGGGGGGGGGGGAACCTTGATCTATGGACTCCAACATCCTTGAGAACTAAAACTGGGGCCAACCAGTTGCCAAGAAACGTCAAGCCCCCTTGACCTGGATGCCCCCGGCTAGCCTGATCTTGTCCGATCTCGGCTGCTAAGCAGGGTCAACCTTGGTTCGGACTTGGGTGGGAGACCACCGAGGAAGTCCAGGGTTGCTACACAGAGGCAGGTGGTGGTGGGGGAACCACCTCTCGTCTGTCCCTTGCCTTGTAAAGCCTACGGAGTAGCCCGAAGTTGGCTATGACTTGACGGCACTTTCCACCGCCAGATGATATCCAGTGCTGGTGAGTCCCACAAATTCATTATGCCCTGCCCTGAATCAACTTCAAGTCCCAGCATTTTGGAAGAGGGAGAATGTGTTATCTATGTCCAGGGCTATTTTTGGGCAGGAACGCACAGGAATGGAGTTCCGGCTGGCTCCCGAGTTGGCCACGCCCAGCAGGAACTCATTAGCATAATAGGCCACGCCCAACAGCAGAAACTCATTAGGATTGGCTACTTTAGGGGTGTGTGGCCTAACATGCAAAGGAGTTCCTGCTACAAAAAAAGCCCTGGGTTTTGACCACAAACAAGGTAAACAGAATAAGAAGCAAAAGGTGGGTGTGGCAACATGGGGGTGTGGCCTAATATGCCAATGAGCTGTGATGTCAGGGGTGTGGTCTAATATGCTAATGTGTTTCTGCTGTTGGGTGTGGTCTATTATGCTAATGAGTTCCTGCTGGGCTTTTTCTACAAAAAAGGCCCTGTCTATGTCCACTGTCTCTACCTGGTGCATCATATTATAAACATCTGTTTTGTGTATCCCATCCCTGCTGGTTGCTGGTTGCCTTCCTCTGAACTGTAAAATTCCAAATGATCCATCATTTCCTGTGAGTGGAATGTAGACACCAACCTCCTATTAAGAGGTGACCCCTGAAGCGTTCGCCTGCTGATCTCTGTGCATCAAACCTCCCATTACAGAGAAAAGGGGTGGGGTAATAAGCGACCTTCATCCACAGTCCATCTCCATAATAAGCAACCTTAACCACACAGTCCATCCTCTGCAAGAGAATCCACGATCTCTTGCTGTAGCTTAACCCCACTCTTATCGGAGCCACAATCACAAAGCACATCAACAAAGGAGAAACACGGTTTAGAAGAGAAAGATTTATTCAGCTAATCTTTTTTCACAGGGGCCTCTCCCTCTTGGAAGTGCACAAAGCCAGCCCCCAATTCCAGTCTCTCTGTTCCCACAAGCAGGACAGAATCGGTCGGTTTGCAGAAGAAAAAAGTCCCAGCAGAAGAGGGGAGGGAGCCACAGAAGGCCTGCATGTGTTTGTTTAACTGTATGTAAGACCGGACCTAGGCAGGCAGGTCTGGGCAAGCGCGCATACCCCATGATTGCACACAGGAGGCTTCCGCTGCTCACGTGACAGCCAGTTTGGGGCTGCGGTCAGAGCACAACCAGGGAGACCCATGTTCGAATTCCCACTGAGCCATCCCATTCATTCGATGACCTGACCCAATCACACTCTCTCTCTCCCTGCCTAACCTACCACCTAAGTGACTGAGGGGCGACATGATCGAGGAGGTTTACAAGGTTATGCATGGGATAGAGCAGGTAGAGAAAGAGGTACTTTTCTCCCTTCCTCACAATACAAGAACTCGTGGGCACTCCATGAAATTGCTGAGCGGTCGGGTTAGAACGGATAAGAGGAAGTCCTTCTTCACCCAGAGTGATGAACACATGGAATTCACTGCCACGGGAGGTGGCGGTGGCTACAAGCATGGACGGCTTCAAGAGGGAATCAGATAAACATATGGAGCAGAGGTCCATCAGTGGCTATTAGCCACAAGGTATAGGTAGGTACTCTCGGTCTGGGGCAAGTGATGGCACCTGGTATTTTTGGCCACTGTGTGACAGAGGGTTGGACTGGATGGGCCACTGGCCTGATCCAGCATTGGCTTCTCTTATGTTAAGGTTGTCAGGATAAAAGGGAGGAGGGGAGAACCACACACACTGCCCTAAGCTTCCTGGAGAAAGGGCAGGCCACAAAGGAAACAGGTGGGACATATACAGAAGGGTACCTGTTTGAAAAAGGGGCCTATGTTCAAGTTTAGGTGCTTGCTCCCAAGACAGAGTGGTGTCAGGGGTCTATGTACATGCCCGGAAAGGAATAGAAAGGGAGGAAATGAGCCTATTTGTGCACACAGAAACACTAAATGCACTTTCCAACTGGATTATGCCAGTTCACACAGTAAAAAGTGGATTGAAAGTGGATTGAAAGTGGATTATTTAGTGTGTGCGACTATGCAAGAATGCACATGTGCAAAAGGAAGGGTTATAAGGGACCACGATGGGGAAGTAGCAGAGACAGGAAAGGGCACAAGGGCACACTCGGAGTTCACTACTGATGAGCTATGGCTAGGCATTCCGGAACAGTCGCTTGCTTGAGCCTAAGCATACATAACCCACTGCTTAACTGTATTTTTACTGCAGCCGGGTATTTATTTCCATACTTCTAACCTGCCTCTCTGCTCAATGGAGACCCAAAGCAACTTATATTGGTCTCCTTGCCTCCATTTTGTCCTCACAACAACCCTGCAAAGTGGGTTAGGGGGAGAGTGTGCGACCGGCCGAGGGTCGCCTGGTGTGCTTTCTGTGGGACAGCGGGGATTCGAACTCGGGTCTCCCAGATCCTAGTCCGGCACTCGGATTCAAGTCCAGTTCGTAGTGCCTTAGAGACCAACAGGAGTTTTAGAGTATCAGCCGTTGAGAGTCAAAGCCCTCTTTGTCAGACGGAGGAACGGACTTTTGTCTCTTGAAAGCTCCTCCCCTGAAAAACTGGCTGGTCTCTAAGGTGTTCCTGGACTAGAATGCAGCTGTTCCACTGCAAACCAACACAGCTTCCGTTTGAAACTCATCCGGCGCTGTAACTACCAAAGCACACTGGCTCTCAGCTGAGGGTCACGGCCTTAGTAGGCAGCAGGGCTCTTTTTGTAGAAAAAGCCCAGCAGGAAATCATTAGCATAATAGGCCACACCCAACAGCAGAAACTCATTAGCGTATTAGGCCACACCCTGACAGCACAGCTCATTAGCATATTAGGCCGCACCCCCACGTTACCAGAAGTGTGGTCATCCAGCCACACCCACCTTTTGCTTCTTATTCTGTTTACCTTGTTTGTTGTCAAAACCCAGGGCCTTTTTTTTTTGTCGCAGGAACTCCTTTGCATGTTAGGCCACACACCCCTGATGTAGCCAATTCCAATGAGTTTCTGCTGTTGGGTGTGGCCTGTTATGCTAATGAGCTCCTGGTGGGCGTGGCCAACTCGGGAGCCAGCCAGAACTCCGTTCCTGTGCGTTCCTGCCCAAAAATAGCCCTGGTAGGCAGCACCGGCCACTGAGCACATTCAGGATGTGAGGAGCACATTCCCGGGGGGGGGGGGGGGGGGACAGAGAAAGAGAAGTGGGGTAGGATCTGTGGCATTCGCAGACAGCTCTGGAGGGGACCCCTTCGGAGAGAGATGCTACTGTTGGATGGGTTCTTCCACCAGGGGGAGAGGCAAGCGCGAAACAGCTCCTTCCTCTAGAAGAGAAAAGGGGGGGGGGAGAATGAGTGGTCAGGCTCCCAGCAGTACCCCCCACCATCTACTCATATAATTCCCAGCAAAAAAGAACATCGGGATTCCCAGCTCCCAGCATGCATTGCTCTAAGCAGATAGCTGAACCACAGATGGTACCCATAGCAGCTCCATTTAAACTTCCTTCTCTTAAGCAATGGCCTGTTCCAGAATTGGAGGGGGAGGTTGTTTTAATGCCCAAAGAGGCACACGCACATCGCTTGTGGACATGCAGATAGGCAGGTTTTAATTAGGAAAGCCTTGATAAAGGTTGCCAAAGAACAAAGGGCCAGACAAAGGCGATCACGATACATGTGTCCAAACCGCCATTTATACCGATAATCAATGTTCCCTCTAAGCTGCGGAGTCTTGTGAGCAAAAATTCTGCTTTGTGAGCTACTGGCATTAAAGTTGCGAGCAAGCGATTTTGCTGCTGCATCAGTTCGTTTGCTCTGGAGCCATCCCTCCTGAGCTAAGACCAAAATGTGTGAGCCGGAGGCTAAAAAACTGTGGGCTAGCTCACACTAACTCAGCTTAGAGGGAACACTGCCGATAATGGGTTTCACTGGGAAGCTAGTAAAAATCCTAGTAGCACCTTTAAGACTAACAAACTTTATTGTATCATAAGCTTTCGAGAAACACAGCTCTCTTCGTCAGATGCCTGGAAATCTGCATCTGACAAAGAGAGCTATTTTGCAGCAACAGACTTAACGGGGCTAAGTCCTCTGGATCTGTGACTGGGAAGTTATTTCCCATTTCAAAAGGCACTAACTTCATCACAAAAGAAGTCCAAAGAGGGACAAGGCATCGGGTGATGGGTGGGGCCACCCAAACAATGAGCTCACTGGGGAAACCGTGCTGGTGCAAGAACACCCTAAGAATCTGCTCCATATCTAGAAGCGCTGTTTCCCCGTGCCCTTAGCCCTTCTCCCTCCCAGAGAATCTGCAAAAAGGCCTCACCCCGGAGATGGAGGAATGACAGGAAATCCATCAGGGTTTGGAGGGTGCGTTCCTCAACCGGGCGAACAGGAGCTGCGGCTGCAGGGAAGAAGAAATGGCATTGAAGGGCAGAGATGACGTTAACGGAGCAGGCAGATTTCGAGGAGAGGGGTCAAGGAGGTGTGCTCACCAAAGGATTCCTGCCCTAACGAATACAAGTCCTCCAAAGCTTCTCGCTTACCAGCTAGGCCTCCTTTATCTGCCAGCGTCTGGTGGGCATCTGCTTTGGGAATGGGAAGGGAAGAAAAAGCTGGATTAAACCGGGCTTAAAGAGAGCCACTCGTTTGGAATCCAGGGTAGGCTAAGAATCACCCTTCTCCCCAGGGAGGAAAAGGTTTGTATGTTGTAAAAAAAGAGAGAGGGGGGTGTGTGTGTGTGTGGGGGGTCTGTTTCCTTCCTTCTCAGGGCCGGTCTTAACCACGGAGCAACCAGGGCAGCTGCCCCGAGCCCTGTGCTGGGGGGGGCACACACTGGGTGGCCTCTGACCACCGAGCTGCCACCACTGACCGGCAGTGATGTTGAGGGGCATCACTCAGGCAGGACCCCTGGCAAGCAGCTGTAGGGCAGCGGAGGCTGCTGCTGTCCCATTGCCACCCTGCCTGCCGCACCCAGTGATTCTGGGGCCCCATCCTTGGGCCCCAGATTCACTAAGATCGCCCCTGTTGCTTCTTTTACCACATACCACAGCTAAACAGCAAATATGGGTTGGCGGGGTGTGTGTGTGAGTAACTTGCAGGTTTACATGCCTACTCCCAACTATTCATGTCCCTCACCTTGGTCGGGGTGAATGACAAGCAGACCCCTTTGAAACCCTGAAGGGGAGGACCATTATCTGGCAGATGGGCTGGCTGGAGCCCACCTTTGACAACTCCACCAATGACCCAGCAGGGACAGAACTGTTACAATGGGATTGGTCAGTATTTTTGTAAAGGCAGAAGTCCATTCTGGAGAAACACACAGTCTGGATCAAGGTATATTCCATAGAAATATAGTGGACATTTCACTGCTCAGCCTATTCCAAAATTGTCGTAGCATCTCTACAACACTGTATAGCACTATGCCTCGTGAACACTACATATCCTCCAGAACAGGGCCGGCCCCAGGTTTTTTTGCACACTAGGCGAGGATACCTTCTGGCACACACACACTCACACACACACATGCACCCCCCAATTTTCAAACATAAATGCATTTTAGGAAGAATGAACAACACAAAATCTGAAAGGTTGTGAGGCTGGTGGGGCTGAGAGAGCTCTTTCGAGGACTGCCCTTGAGAGAACAGCTCTGAGAGAACTTGTGACTGAGCCAAGGCCACGCCAGCAGCTGCATGTGGAGGAGGAGTGGGGGAATCCAACCCAGGTCACCCAGATTAGAGTCTGCACTCCTAACCACTAATTCCTGGGGGTGGGGAGCCCAGTGGCTCCTGCTCCTCCAAGAGGAGGACGGCTGCACTTCTGAGCGCACTGAAAGACCCGGCAGCGCGCAGCAGTCACCCTGACCCACCCGGTCAAGAAAGTTGCAGGGCTTTTGGCAGGGGGGGGGCTTTTGATGGGGGGGCCAGGTGCCAGTTTGGTGCCCCTACGGGCCAGCACGCTCTAGGCGAGCGCCTAGTTTGCCTAGTGAGCGAGCCGGCCCTACTCCAGAATATAACAAGAGAAAACACTGAGATGCTTGCAAACCTCCTCCCACCCACCCAAATATTACCCCCATGAACATTGCTAAAGCCTCTGTTCTATTGGCTATATTCCTTAAGTTCTGCAGTGCTTTAATAGCCAAAAAGGGTGTTTGGTTTGTAGGTCTAAAGTGCACTAGTACAGGATTTCTACAAACAGCCATTCAAAATGAGCCTTGCCAGCATGTGAGGCTGTGCACTGGATGCCGGGTGCCTTAACGTCCATGCATGCGCATTAGAGAGATGTAGCCACTTCCCCATTCAGAGATGGAGACGGCACTCCCTGGAGAGGGAGCTGCAAGAATGGCAACTTTAGCAAGTCACCCTGAATAAGGCATTCCCCAGCGTCAAGAAAAAAGGCAACACTGGACCGAGCCAGATTCCAGAAAACAAAGAGACTGTCCTTGGTCAATAGGAGCAGTTGGAAATACAATATTAATTCCGGAATACCCGCATGGCAATCCAAGGCTATTAAGCCCATATTACAGATTGGGAGGCTGGGGGCAAAGATTGTGCAGCTTGTTTATGGCTGTGGTAGACACTGAACTTTCTGGCTGACTGCTCACACAGAGGGTGAAGGCCAGGAATAGCCATGGAGTTATTTCCCAGCCCTGCCTTTAACAAACAATAATGGTGCACGACCAGGGCCGGCTCGCTCACTAGGCAAACTAGGCGTTCGCCTAGAGCGCCTCGGCCCTTAGGGGCGCCAAACTGCACCCACCCCCCGCCAAAAGCGCCCCTGCTGGCTCTGACGGGGGGGCGCATGGGGGGGGGGGGCGCTAGAAGGGATCCTTGCCTAGGGTGCAAAATATCCTGGGGCACGACACCCTGTGCACGACTCTACTGTGATCTTAATTGCCCTTTGGCACCCCTGCTGATGTGGCAAGTGGCCGGACTGTTGGTAGGTAAGAAGTTGGGTTTCCAAAAGGGGAGATTCCTTCCAATGATTTATAGCAAAATAATTCTAGACTAATGTTTGAGGGATTTCAAGACGGTATGACAGAGGGCCAGCTGACTTTGGCAGAGGCATGCATTTCTTTTTAGCCATCTCTGGCCAAACAGGTTTTGTAAGTTCCTGAAGCACGGGGCGGGGGGTGGGATGGACTCCGTGAAGCCTACTGGACACACTAAAGCGTCCTTGGGCATCTACTGCAGCATCAGTTTTCTTGAGCCTGTCGTCAGTCTCCAGTGACATGATCTGGCCATCCCACTGGAGGGGGGGGGATTTCCCACCACCCCCTTCCTGTTCTGGGGTCCATAAGCACTTCCTATATGCTGGGGCCGCATCTGTCTACCTTTCCCACCCCACCCCAACCGAACACTTTTTAACCTGAACTGACTTACGAGGTCCCAGCAAGTATCCAGCGCTGTTCAGGGTCCATCCACGTTTATCCTTGGGCTGCAGGAGCAAAGAGGCAAAGAAAGTCCCATTAGAAAGGCAAGGAAAGTCCCCAGCCAGCATCACCTGGTCCATGGATATCTCTACAGTCAGCAGGCCCAGCCCAGCCCAGCCCACCTAGGAGGAAGGAGGAGATTGGATTCACTACCCAAAGGTGTCTCAGAGCGGCTTACAAACTCCTTTCCCTTCTGTTGGGTGTTACAAGTTAAAACACTTTCAGTATTTACTGGGCTAATGATGTTTGTTAAGTCACATGGTTGTTTGTAACCAATCTGTTTTAGACAGTTAGAAAGCCCGGGAACTTCAGAACTAGTTTGTTGTTCTGATTGGAGACTAAAGTGCCGAGTATTAGCATTTTATGGCTTCTCTTCCCGTCTTGTGTTTTCTTTGTTCTGAGCAAGAAGAAGAAGCCACCATTCTGCCATTTTCAGTTTAGCTGTAAGGATGCAGGAATATCAGCTCTTTGTTATTTTACATCCCGTGTACCTTTTCCCATGCTAGGTTGTAGTACACTTTTATCTTTAAACACACCATGGACTCTTTAATACTCTGCCGATTTACTTTAAAATTAAGAATCCCAACACCTTCCTCTCCCCACAACAGACACCCTGTGAGGAAGGTGGGGCTGAGAGAGCTCTTGACAGAAACTGCTCTTTTTCAAGAACAGCTCTTATCAGAACTACGACTTGCCCAAGGTCATCCAGCCAGGTGCAAGTGGAGGAGTGGGGAATCGAACCCGGTTCTCCCAGATTAGAGTCTGCGCACTTAACCACTACACCAAACTGGCTCTCAGAGCTACTCCCCCAAGCCTACTCCCCCCTCCCCAAATACAGACAAGGTCAATTGTAGCAAAGCTCTGCTGAAAAGTGCAAGCTTTGGATATAGGTCTTTTAGCTTTCAGCTGGCCATTTGACAGCAATGCTGACTCTGTGAACTTAGGCAGATCATGAGAGGGAGGGCAGGAAGGGTCGCCTCAGTGTTTCGTTCTTGTGGCCCTCTCTTACACACCTAGGGAAATGCCGATTACCACATTGAGGTCAGGAAGCAATTTTCTCCATGCCAGTTTGGCTGGAGATCCTGGAGGGTTTGGGGTGTGTGTGTCATTTTGTGGGCATGGAGCAGGGGTCACTGGGGTTGTGGCGGGAAGGTAGCTGTGAATTTCCTGCAGTGTGCAGGGGGCTGGACTAGATGACCCTGGAGGTCCCTTCCAACTCTATGATTCTAATTGGTGCTACTAGAAACCCCTTCTTGGTGTTTTCCTTCTTCTGAATCTTTCTCCCCTCCCCCTGCTCCTCTTTATCTCTCCCCACCACCACCACAAAATGGTGGCAAGGATGCTGTTGGGACTACCAGCCTAACTTTGAGGTAGGGTTGCCAGCTATGGGTTGGGAAATACCAGGAGATTTTGGGGGTGGAGCTTTGGGAGGATGGGGTTTGGGGAGTGGAGGGACCTCAGCAGGGTACAATGCCCTAGACTCCACCCTCCAAAGCAGCCATTTTCTCCAAGGGATCTGATCTCTGTAGACTGGCAATCAGTTGGGATTGTGGGAGACCGCTCCAGGTGGCACCTGGAGGGTGGCAACCCTGCTTTGAGGCCTAAAAGCTCAAGGGATGAGCACAAAAGCTTGATAGCTCCCAGCAGTTTTAGGGGCTGGCATTGTGTGGCACCTGCTATTAAATACTGGGTTCTAGACACATTGCAGTGATCAGCTCTAGTTTATTCAGTGATTTCGGCAAACTGCTAAGACAAGATTCTAGAGCCTCAGCTCTGTTAAACAGCATGCAGTTGCCACACCCAAACCCACTCCACTCCCAGTGATAGGCTACATACATAACATTACTACTTGACTGGTTTATTCCAGAGTCCTGGTCAGCTATTGTTCTTGTGCTCCAAGCTCAGCCAGTAACTGGGGTGATTCAATCAGGGATGATTCAGTCCCAATACATAACACCTGCCAAGGCCCTGGAACACCCTTGACCTATTGCCGTTTCTCCCCCCTCACAGAGGCTGCCTCCCCCTCTCTGAGTGAGCCAGTGGCAGGAGCAGAAAGAAGAAGTAGCCGGCGCGGTTTGGCTCCCCTTTTCCCTCCGAGTGGCAGCAGGGACTGGGCGTCGAGGGGGAAGGTGATGGGAAGCAGGGGGATCTCCCTGGGACGGGGAGGGAACCAGATTGGCGCCAATAACACTGCTGACGGAAGAGGGATGATGTAAAACCAAGACTGGAGGAGCCAACCTCACTCACCACAAGAGCAATTCCAAAGCATTCCCCAAGGAGTCCGCAGAGGAGCAAAGAAAAACACAACATGGACCGAGAATGCCACATCTATGTGAGGGAGAGAAGAGAAGCAAAACACCACTATTAGTCAGTCTTCTGCCCTGCCTGGGATGGGCCAGGCTGGCCTGATCTCCGAAGCTGCTACACAGGGCTGGGCCTGGTTAGTACGTGGATGGGAAACCACCAAGGAAGCCCAAGGTTGTTACACAGAGGCTGGTAACGGCAAATCACCTCTGTTCCTCTCTTGCCTTGCCTTGGAAACCCCACGGGGTCACTATCAACTCTCCCTCTAAGCTATGGAGTCCTGTGAGCAAAAATTCCACTTTGTGAGCTACTGGCATTAAAGTGGTGAGCGAGCCATTTGGCTACCGCATAAACTAGTTTCCTTGGGAGCCATCCTTCCTGAGCCAAGACAAAAATCTGTGAGCTGGAGGCTGAAAAACTGTGAGCTAGCTCACACTAACTCGGCTTAGAGGGAACAGTGGACTCACTATAAGTCAGCGGCGACTTAACAGCACTGTCCACCCTTGTCAGTCCTACAGGCACTTACTAGGGAGTAAGTCCCCCTGAGCGCAGGAGGATTTATGGTATTCCTCCACCCAAAAACCTGGACGCTGAATGACTGTGAGCTAGCTCACAGTTTTTTAGCCTCCGGCTCACACATTTTTGCCTTAGCTCAGGAAGGATGGCTCCAGAGCAAACTAATTTACGCAGCAGCCAAATCGCTCGCTCACAACTTTAATGCCGGTAGCTCACAAAGTAGAATTTTTGCTCACAGGACTCCACAGCTTAGAGGGAGCATTGCACCAGACAAGCCAGTTTTGCAAGGTTTTGGTTTTTTAAAAAGAGAAACCTGCACCACCTGTTTGACCAGAGACAAGAGCAGGTTGAATGTGTGCACGAAGGCCAGCAGTGCCTCTGGGGTACATCTTCGGTGCTCTCAAAAACACTGCTGTCCCCCTGCCAGCTTCACATTCTGAGTCCCCATAGAAAGCACTCACGAAAGCTCCTCCCTGTCACAAGTTTTGTTAGTCTTTAAGGCGCTACTGGACTCTTGCTCTTTTCTACAGCTCCTACCAGTAGGCTGTGCTGTGCTGTGCTCCTAGCAAATGCAAGAGTCTTGGATCCTGGGCTGCAGTTGCCAACAGCGGGGGGGGGATGCCCTGTCCTTTTAACAAAAGCTCAACGGGATGTTAATGACTAGACCAGTGATGGCGAACCTTTTAGAGACCGAGTGCCCAAACTGCGACCCAAAACCCACTTATTTATCGCAAAGTGCCAACACGGCAATTTAACCTGAATACTGAGGTTTTACTTTAGAAAAAACAACTCATACATTCACCTAAGATGATCCAAATAAAGTAAGGAAAGCAATCCCAAATGCTTCCATTTACTTTATATTACTTGGCAGAGAATCCGACACTTTAATGATGGTCTGGCCGTGGCTGGGGCGATGGCACACGTGCCCGCAGAGAGGGCTCTGAGTGCCACCTCTGGCACCCATGCCATAGGTTTGCCACCACTGGACTAGGTGATGTTATTTACCTCCATGCCTTGTAAAGTCCAGCTGCTCATTTCCACACGCTGAGCCTCTATTAAAGGGTCAGGACATTTTTCTCCAGGCCTGTTGGCCACCCTAAGCCCTTCCTTCCTCTACCCTGTAACTCACTTCTTGGGCAGCTTGCCAACATTATGTGGGCCACCCCAAATCTTTTGTGTCCATACCATTTTGTTTCTCTGCCTGGCCCAGCCCTTGTGCTTTTGTTCACTTGTGCGAGAGGCAGTCATTCAATAGGTGAGGTATATCCATCACGGCGCTGCCAGGCCACAAGTTGCCACACCTGTTGAATTTCTGCCTGTTATATCCAGAAATCCCACCACCACCACCCAAAAAAAGTGAATATCCTGCTGTCCCCCGTTCTAATGCTTCACCAGCCCTGCTATCGGGTCTCAACGCCAGCTCCCCATCCCCAGACCAAAGCCTCAGAATCATAAACTTCCAAAGATGGGAGGGACTCCTACCTTTAGATCTGTCTTGAGATGCTGGGCGTCTGATCCCAGAAAGGATAAGGACCTGGGCTTTATAAGGGAAGGGAAATAGGGGGTTGGCTGCGTCAGAACTCCACAGACAAAAGGAGGGGGGGCATCCATATAATTGTCTGTAATGGTCCCCTGAGACCCAGCTGGATGGGCGAAGAAAGATGCTCTACTTGCTTTTAATGTGCAATTTATTCACATCCTTTGTCAGAAAATGGGTGGAAAAGTGGGGGTAATTAGTCCTAATTGACTCCTCGGAGTGAAGACGAGGAGGGCAAACAGGCGACATTCCAGGTTCCCTTCCCTGACGCAGGGACCTCAAGAGTTCGGGTGCCCAGACCCCTTTCCTTGCTGCCCTCCTGGGTTCCTTTGGAGGGACCTGCACCGGAAGGCGCAGCGTCCCAACAGGAGACACCATCCGTGCGCTGTCGTTGATTTATGTTAAATGATGAGGACCCTCATGTGATGAAGACTGAACTGCTGGCGTTTTCGGTTTCGTGTTTGCTTTTCCCACAAGTTCCCCTGCTTTTCCTACTTATGTTCTGATGAGGCTGTGCCCAAATTTTGTTTTCATCAGTTGTCTTGAACAATAACACCCTTCCGAAGCAATCCTATGTGGAGTTTCTCCAGCCCAAAGGCGTTTATTTCAGTGGGTTTAGACTGAAGTAACTAGCAGTTCGAAAGGAAGAAATTGCAAGTAGATAAATAGGTACCACTTTGGTGGGAAGGTAACAGCGTTCCGTGCGCCACATGACCACGGAAACGTCTTCGGACAGCGCTGGCTCTTCGGCTTTGAAACGGAGATGAGCACCACAATCCTAGAGTCGGATTCGACTGACTTTCGAGCAAGGGAACCTTTACCTTTAACTGTGTATAGGGTTGATCAAGGTGGGCAGTCGTGTTGGTCTGAAGCAAGGAGGAGGAGGAGGAGATTGGATTTATACCCTGCCCTTCACTACCCGAAGGAGTCTCAGAGCGGTTTACAATCCCTTCCCCTCCCCCTCCCCACAACAGACACCCTGTGAGGTAGGTGGGGCTGAGAGATGACATAGGTAATAAATATGTCAGAACTGGAGATCCTGTAAAGTTTGCCACCATGCTAGAAAGGAGAGGGATGGAATCTAATGACAGATTCTCACTATTAAGGGTACATCAGTCTCCAATTCTGACATATTTATTACCCTGCTCTTGTCTCTGGTCAAACAGGTGGTGCAGGTTATTTAAAAAAAAAAAAAAAAAAACCCTGCAAAACTGGGTTCTCTGGAGATGACAGTGAGAAAGCTACAAACTACAAACTTTGGGCTTCAAATGTCCTGAAACAACTTTATGTTCCTCCACTTCTTTGTATACTAAACTCCCCCTCACCGAGAGTTTTGGGGAACTCAGAAACATACACTTTGGGATCATTTTGGTTGGTTCTAATAAAAACTGTTTTTAATTTCTTTTTCATAGACCAACACAGCTACTTACAATTTTGTTCACCTTTCGTGGTTTACTTCATTCTTTCTGTCTGGCTTATTTGCTGAGACTCAAGGCAAACGACACAATTTAAAACTATGTCATAAAAACAACCTACATGTAATGCAATAAAAACTGGATTACAAAGTTAGAGAATGCACTAGAAATTGTATAAGGCGTACAATAAAGCAGGATTACAAAACTGGAAAACAATATTATAAATAATGGGCTAGATCCAATGATGCACAAGCGGAAACATCAACAGACTTGATGCACTTCCTCTTGTGCAAGGTCTCGCGCAACACCTAGTGCTTTTCTTCCCAATATATTATAGTCCCCAGAAATTGGGTGCACAAGATCTTGTGCAAGCAGAAACCTGGGTGGAGTTACAGTAAGTCTGACCTAGTGCAAGGGGCTACCATAGTCCTTTTTCTTGCATTTCTGTGTGCAAGAGCACTAGCACAAAAAAATTTTTGTCCAGGATACAGTCCAGCCAACTGGTCTACTCCATTGCCCTCCTTGCTACAGCCCCCATGCCACCTGTCTTTTTTCCATGCAGGTCTCACAGTCCCCAGCACAGCCATTTGGGGTGGTAACAGGGGATCTCCCCTTTCTTTCATCCTAAGGAAAGCAGGTTGGATCCAGCCCGTTGAACACAATGAGCAACGGAATGACGACTGCCTAAAATTTCACAGCAAGGTGTGTTGCTCACTGCCGTTCTGGCTGCACTGATTTGTGCCCTTCTATCTCCTGAAGGAGCTGCGGTGGCTCAAGTGGTTAAGATGCTGAACTGCAGGCTGTGGAAGGTCGGTAGTTCAGCAGTTCAAGACCCGGGTTGCCACATGACGGAGTGAGCTCCCGTCTCTAGTTCCAGCTCCTGCCAACCTAGCAGTTTGAAAGCAAGAAATTGCAAGTAGATAAATAGGTACCACTTTGGTGGGAAGGTAACAGCGTTCCGTGCGCCTTGGTGTTTAGTCATGCCGGCCACATGACCACGGAAACGTCTTCGGACAGCGCTGGCTCTTCGGCTTGGAAACGGAGATGAGCACCGCAACCGTAGAGTCGGATTCGACTGGCTTTCGAGCAAGGGAACCTTTACCTTTACCTTTATCTCCTGAAGGACGGGCTGATCAAAGGATCCATCAAAGGATCCATCAACGCTGATTGTGTCGGATCGGATTGGGTGTCTGCAAAGAGCAAAATATAAGCAGCTGCTAAGGGCTACCACTGAAACGTCTATTCAGGTAATAATGGTAGATGTAATAATCCTCCTCCAAGGAAATTCAAGTTCTAAGCTCCATTCAACGCAAAGATGGTGGTTGTTGTTGTTGTTGTTGTTATCAAAGGTCATTTCGGGGGGGAACGCGGGGGAACACAGTTCCTCCGGGTGAGGTGCAGGGGGCGGGGCACATGATGAAGCTCCGCCCCCTGCTTCCGGCCACCCTGCTTCCGGCCCTCATTCAGCCAGGAGGAGGCAGGAGAAGAGGGAGGGTAAGTTGCTTCCTCCCCGCCTCTCCCCACCCCTGCCTGCCTGGGGCCAGGGAGGGCCTTCG